GGAGATATAGGTAGATAGATAGGTAGAGATATAGGTAGATAGGTAGATATATAGACAAGTTAGATTTGATAGATAAAGTGAATGTCGATAAGTTAGAGATCCTAAAACAGGAAATATGTATCGAGCGATAGAAATTCCATAACGTTATCGATGTCAGTCTGACGTCTGTAATATTGGAGGACATGCAGAATGTCTTCTTAATAATGATAACATATATAAAAGAGCGTCTGGAACACGTCATATAAAAAAAGGCATTTTCATCTTAGTTATATTGGTGACAAGCATGAAATTTTCGAATGTCAACCACCAGGTGGCTTTGGCAGACAAGATCGACTTTCTGTAACAGATAACGGTGTGTGTGTGTGTGTGTGTGTCTTTATCATTATCATAGAATTCCATGTTTTAATTTTATTATTTTCCCTACAATAATGACGTTAAGAATAGACACCCCACAGCTTGATTTCGGACAAATTTGAAGTGCGTAAATAGAATCACTTGAGAAAATTAACAGAAAAAAAAGGATATCACTGATACTAATAAAAGTTTAAGGCGAAAGCTCCAATGAAGACTCCCGTTTACAGATAGACTGCTCGTTCCATGTCCAAGCAGGAAGAAGTTGAAGATGACTATCGCGAAGGAAGGCCATTAATGCCACTCGATGAAGATAGCGTTTTGAACAATTCATTGGTGTCATAACATAAAAGAGACAAGCTTTCTGCCAGTAAACCCCAGAATAGGAACTGTTGACACGCCTATTTCGGAAAGTTCTGAACCTGTGGTATACACGTTGGGAATAACAACTTGAAAGACTGTGACTCGTAAAGCATGAATTCACTGAACTGATTATGAAAACAAATAGTAACAGAACTGTGGTTTCCGTGCGGGGAATATTGACATACAATACAATAACCTACAATACGAAACGAAATCTAGACTCAGCATTCTTGATTCTGTATTAAAGGTTATGCTAACTTCTTTTATTTGACTGACAAGGCATATTATCTGTAGAGAGTTCAAAGAAAATCTCTTGTAGCCTTGACAGAGAAAAGACCAGGGAAGTTATGTAATCGAGTGATGGTCTACTGGAACAGGACAGCGACTCATTCGTCTCATCTTACGTGAGAAATACTTCGTGAATAGGGGCACGCAGTTTGGATTTTTTTTTTTTTTTAAGATACTGTAAAAATCTGGACCCTGGTTTCTAGCATATAGATATAGATACAAATATAAAAAAAGATAGATAGATAGCCAGATAGACAAAGAAAGATACAGATAAACGTCGAAATACTTACGTAGTCTGGTGAGCGAGCTGTCTCTGCCGTCAATGCCTTCCCCAAGAACGAGCGGCGCAAGGTCCTTTACCTTCTTCATCTGTTGTTTCCAAAAAATGAAAAAAAATGTAAAATGACCTTTAGCTCGAGTATAATATTACAATTAGATCAGCTTATTCGCGGCAAAAAAATGGAAATAAGGAGAGAGAGCGAGAAGGGAAAAATGTCATGGCAACGTCCATAAATTACAGATTTGGAGTGGTTGAGAAGCGCTGGTAATCAAGGGGCATCGATCCCACCTCTTCCCTACCCCCCCCCCTCTCTCTCTCTCTCTCTCTCTCTCTCTCTCTCTCTCTCTCTCTCTCTCTCTCTCTCTCTCTCTCTCTTTCTCTCTCTCTTTCTCTCTTCTTCTTTTTCTACGTCTCCTCCTTCTTCCCCTTCTACCTCCCCTTCCCATCTTCCTTCACATCTTTCAGCTTTCCCTCTCCCTTAAACCCCTATCCCTCCCCCTATCCTCCCCTCCCCATTCCCTCCCCTTCCCATCCCCTTCCCCTTCCCCCCCTCCGGGTTCGAAGAGCGGAGACGAAGAAAATCACAGTCTGTCAACGAGCGTGTAATTCAACCTAAATTAGGCGCAGGGAAAGGAGGGAGGAATTGCCAACCTAAAATGGCGTAAGTGTCTCAAATTACCAACTATTCTTGTGCGCTGATGTTTCTTCGCTTGCTGTCATGTAATGGTAACACTGGCGACCCGATTTCCAGACTGTTTTTTATTTACTTCGTCTTAATTAAGGGGTTGGTGCCTTTTCACCCTTGATTATATCATGATTATATCCCGTTTGAAAGCAAATTGATATTGTGGAAAAAGCGTACGTAAATAACTCGAAAGTGTCTATGTATGAAAAATAATAGTAATCGAAAGATAAAAGTCATAGTAATAAAAAAGAGGACAGATAAAAAGCAATGAAAATCAAAATCGCGTCTTCAACCTCGTGATAAAAAAAAAAATTCCTTCTGGGAATGATTGCCATCGTATCAGATTTCATGACGATTCAGCTGCTCGCACACTGAATAAACGCTAATTTATACTGAAAGCGCTGAAAAGCCTGAGTATCCTGATTTAGGTTCAAAGGACAGCTCTGGTGATTGATTCATTTCTCGTTCTCTTTCATTCTCTTTTTCTTCTCTCTCTCTCTCTCTTTCATTCTCTTTCTTCTCTCTCTCTCTCTCTCTCTCTCTCTCTCTCTCTCTCTCTCTCTCTCTCTCTCTCTCTCTCTCTCTCTCTCTCTCTCTCTCTCTCTCTCTCTCTCTCTCTCTCTCTCTCTCTCTCTCTCTCTCTCTCTCTCTCTCTCTCCTCTCTCTCTCTCTCTCTCTCTCTCTCTCTCTCTCTCTCTCTCTCTCTCTCTCTCTCTCTCTCTCTCTCTCTCTCTCTCTCTCTCTCTCTCTCTCTCTCTCTCTCTCTCTCTCTCTCTCTCTCTCTCTCTCTCTCTCTCTCTCTCTCTCTCTCTCTCTCTCTCTCTCTCTCTCTCTCTCTCTCTCTCTCTCTCTCTCTCTCTCCTTCTTACGGCATCCACTTCGTCTGACTATGCTATCATAGTGATCATTGTTTACTCGTCTCTTCGCCGAACCTAAATATAGCGGATAATCTGTTTATACCCATCAACTCCATCTTCCTTCCCTTCGTTATATTTGTGTAATGTCTGTCTGTCTATTTCTGACGGTTTTCGTTTATCAGTATGTCAGTACATCTGCGACTAAGCAAGGAAATAATATTGATCAACTATACGGTATGATCGATCTATATCTATCTGTCAATCACTTCTCACGACTTATCTGTTTGATTTTCTGTCTGTCTGTGTTTATATGTGTGTGTGTGTGATATGTACATGTGTGTGTATGTATGTACGTATGTATGTATGTACGTATGTACGTATGTACGTACGTATATATGTATGTATGTATGTATGTATGTATATATATATATATATATATATATATATATGTATGTATGTATGTATGTAAGCATGTATATACGTATGCATGTATGTATGTAAGCATGTATGTACGTATGCATGTATGCATGTATGTCATATTGTTTGACTGTCGTGTTATTAATTTATTCATGAAAACTATTAACAGCGTCAGAATACCCTTGGGGAAAATTCAAATTCATTTTGGGGTTCAACAAGCTACAAGGAAGTGGAGTTACCTAGTTATATGTACCTTGTCGTTTCCGCAATACAGTGATGTCTTTAACATAGATAGCGTTGTTCCTTACATGATTGAAGATTCTTGGTATCATAAATGCTACGAAGGATTAGATTAATTTACATTAGAAAGATGAGGATGAGATTCCCGGATAAGGAAACGGAAAGAATTAAATTAACTTCGACTTAGACGAATTCTAGGAAGACGTTCTTTTAATCTCTTCGCTGAATCTCAGGCGGTTCCGCAGCGGAGGAATTTCTTCCCTGTGATTACTTTCTATTTCAGTCTCTTCATATGCTTTGCACAAGCACACGTGCAGACGCAAGCACACACACGCACAGATACACACACACACACACACACACACACACACACACACACACACACACACACACACACACACACACACACACACACACACACACACTCACCTCCCTCATCCCTCCACTTCCCTTCCCCTTTCCACTTACCCCCCACCGCTCTACCTACCTCCCCTCTCTACCCCTCCCTTCCACCCATCCACCCACCTCCCCTCTCCACCCCTGCCTCCCTTCCCCTCCCACCCCTCCACCCACCTCCCCTCTCCACCCCTCCACCCCCCTCCCCTCTCCACCCATCCATCCACCTCCCCTCTCCACCCCTGCCTCCCTTTTCCCTCCCACCCCTCCACCCACCTCCCCTCTCCACCCCTCCACCCACCTCCCTTTTCCCTCCCAGCCCTCCACCCACCTCCCCTCTCCACCCCTCCACCCACCTCCCTTTTCCCTCCCACCCCTCCACCCACCTCCCCTCTCCACCCCTCCACCCACCTCCCTTTTCCCTCCCAGCCCTCCACCCACCTCTTCCGTGAGCCTCTCCATCTTGGCCGCCTGGTTGAGGTTGTCCCTGGAGGAGCCCAGGTACTTGTCCCTCATGGCTTCGCGCTCCACCTCCGTCCGGTCCTTCTCTCGCCGGAGTTTCTCGTTGATCTGACGGAGCTTCGCGTGGGCTTCTCGTAGCTCCATCAGGTCGCGCTGAAGCTGTCAAGGGAAAAGGGGAAATTTAGTATGGTGTGTGTGTGTGTGTGTGTGTGTGTGTGTGTGTGTGTGTGTGTGTGTGTGTGTGTGTGTGTGTGTGTGTGTGTGTGTGTGTGTGTGTGTGTGTGTGTGTGTCTGTCTGTCTCTGTATCTGTGTGGCTGTCTGTGTGTCTGGGGTCGCCTGTGCCTGTGCTTTTGCCTGTGTCTGTGTACATATGGTGTAGATACACATAAGCACGGGGATATGCTCGTAAACACAAAATCCGTGCATAAAACTAATGCCACATAATCTCAGGGGTTTTCACAGTGCAGATTATTATGGAAGAGAGCTTAGAGCACATCCTGTGACGCTGCACTCAGTCCATTAGCGAACTGTACAGTTGAATGTATCTAGAGCTTGTAATTGTATCTATTTAAGTGCAACTATCTGAGTGAAAGCAATAAAATGTTTCCGTCTCTCTTTCTAGTTTTATCTGCTTTGCAATGGTGCATCACGTTATGCGAC